AGTTCACACCGCTGCAATCAGCGCAGCTCTGCAGCTGAGGCCATCCGCATGACGGATGGGTCGATTCACCGAGGGGTGCAGATTCGCACCCTGCTGTCTTCCAGCAAAGGGGTGGCAGCTGGGCCGATTTGGCGCTCAACAAGCCGATCCAAGCCCCAATCCAATGGCCCCAAAGGTAGATTATTGCTTCTGGGGGGGGGGAAGGGATACAAAGGTATATTTTCTGTCCGTGCTTGGGTTTTGGGAGCGGCTGTTTGTGCTGGAGTGGCTGCTGCTTGCCTCTTGGCTCCCCCGTTCGCTGTGCCATTTGCCAATTGTCTTTGCTTGCCTTTCTGTGAGAATGGTGTTTTGAGACCGCCGGGACCATGACCAATAGGCTGCGTAATCAGACACCCGACGGAATCAGAGAGACCATTCCGGAGCAAAAGGCTCGATTCCCCAACGGCTGCGTCTGAAATGGGCATGGGTCAGAATTAAACCACCAGGGGACCGCAGGTTTCAGTCTACTTGTCCATTTGCCAGGGTTCCATATTGGGTACATATTTTTGACCCACAGCCAATGCATCCAAAGCCGCCTGATTTATCGCTGAGGGGGAAGCGAAGCCCATCTCTGAGCGGCCCACCATGCCCTCAGAGAGCCTCTTCGTCATGGGCCTCCCGCCCGGAAGCACCATAGCCACTTGGGCCACGACTTGGGGGCTTCCCAAATGGGGTGAAATATATGATTGAATTTGTTTGATATCTGAAGCTGGCAATCTGGTTTGGAGAAGGCCCCAAGGCAAAACTAAAAGGAGATGGCCATGCAACACCTTTTTGCTGTTCAGTTTGCTCAGGAGACCATCACGGCCTTCTTTGGGCAGTTTGCCGGTGTTGCCTTTGCCGCTGGGCTTTGATGTATCGACGGTGGGGATGCGCGATTGGGTGGCGTTTTCCATTGGATCCAGGGGTGCTTGTACATTCCCCTTTTGCATACATTGGACAAATAAAAGGCCTGCTGATGTTCATACCCCTCTCCCCAAAAGGGTTATATACCCCTCATAAAGTGGGTTGGTTGGAAACCACGGAAGCCAAGGGGTACGTACTTCCACCCTTAGAGGTCAAGGTGCTGGATACCAACGGCAAGAAGGGCGACACCGTGGCCTTGGTGCGCATGAACAGCCTCGATGAGGCGGCATGGTGCCCTTCGGCTGCGAGAAAAAAGCAAATCACCTGCCCGGCCGGCAAGTGGGTGTGGGTCAAAATTAAACCACCAGGATATGGACCGCAGGTTTAGTCCATGTTTCCATTTACCAGGGCAACCCACAGCCAAGTGATGGGCTGGCCGTGGCCGCTCGCACTTCCGAGGTGTTGACAGGCTGAACGGGCATGAAACTCATCCCAATTTGCAGCAGCTCGGATGCAGAGCTGGTAAATTTGCCCATGCGACGCGGCAAGCCAACAAAGGCCCAGTAGAAATACTGTGGATGGTTGCGAAATCCATTTCGCACCACCTAAGAAGCCCTGGAATTAAGATTCCCCTACAAATACCAACAAACAACGGTTTCAACCATGCTTTCTTAGGTGATGCGAAATGGATTTCGCAACCGTCCACAGTACGTTTTGTTTTCCTGTGCATTTGCCTTTGTTTGCCCCAGGCTCGTGGTCCGCTATTCGGCAACTTGGCAATCCGCATGTCACCTCCACTTCTGGGTCCATCACGCGCCTGAGGACCCCCCCAGGGCCAAGGGCACAGGCAAGGGCATGGAGGAGGTATCCCAGGCCGATCCGATCTTCGGATCTCACTTCTGGTCCACCTGGTTCTTTGTCTCTTTTCTTGGGAGTCAGACTGTGTGTTTGTGTGTGTGTGTGCGCGTGTGCTTTTGGATGTAGAAGAACAACAACACTCCGAAAAGGCGTTCCCTTAAACAAAGGACACACCCAGCTGATTGTTCAGTCTACGAGGTTTCGGTTTGGTTGGCCTCGCAGGGCTTGGGAGTGCGACGCGGCTTCAGTGACTCGCCGTACGGCGAGCCGAAGGTGGGAGAGCGCCAGCAATCCTTGCGGCGCAGCCTGTTTTGTCCGGCATTCACGCAGGTTTTCAGGCAACTCTTGGGTGGTTTGGATTGGTGTTTGAACCCCTGGCCCTCGAGGGTAAGTAGGACCAGCTCACCTCCAAACCACCAATCCAAGCCACCAGCTAGAGGGAACCGGAGCTTCTTTTTTTCTTCAGATTTTGAGGGTGGTTCAGGAAAAAGCGTCCCAGCTTTGAGAGCATGTCCCTTGTCGAGCGCTGTCACTGTTTCCTGAAAGGGGTTCGGCGCAAATCGATTAGCCTTTCAAAGGCTGGGATTCCTGTGGCACAGCGCCCCGTGCGAAGCTTTACAGACCCTGGCTACGAAGCACAGGCAGGGAGACAGCATGTGGGCGAAAGGGCGCGTTGACTGACTGACTCAAGAGCTCAGAATGGCGAAAAGGCATTTTTCGGTTTATTTGACCCGCAATGCAGAAAAACGAATCGAGCCGACCAGATTTTAGGAATTCAGAAGTTCAGATTTGTGGCCAGAATTGCCTGACAGGTGCAACTCGCTTGAAGCGCTCGTGTTTCTTTATCCCGTTGGCCCCACGCTTCCCTTAGGGCTATGGCGAATACGGGTTTGGACAGCCTGCAAGCCCGCCGAGTGGCCGGAGCCACGGATCGTGGGCCACAAGATGTTCAGCAGACTTCCTGACTGTTCCCTGGGGTTCAGTTACCATTTAAACAATGGTTGCTTTGGCGCATTTTGCTTGGATGTTAGGACTTCAACCTTTTGCCAACCAATGGGTTTTCCATTAAACCGCTAAAAGGTATTCACTTTTAGCAGGGCTTCTCAGAAAGCAATCGAGGTTGGGTTAGTCGAACCACCATTGCTTACCTAAAGTGTCGAATCATCTAAATTGTGTCCTTGCCATTCTTTTTGTATGGGGGTTGAAGCTCGGGTGTTTCTGGTCTGCTGGGGTGGAACTGTTGACCATTTTTTGAGGCTGGGGCCCTGCCCCGCAATCGCCGCCGCCCTTCGCGACGGTGGGGGTCCTGGCTGAAAACATTGGAGAAGCCATGCGAAGGGAGGGAGGGCACTGCAGCCCGAATGCTGTTTTTGCGGCAGGGATTCCGACCACAGATGCCGTGGCCTTGGCTTTCCGCTTCACTCTCGCTGCGTTCGTTTGCGAGGGTTCCTGGTGCTCAGGGGGAAGCCAAGTGCCCCGAGTGCCCCGAGTGCGCCGAGTGGTGGCTGCCAGCTGTGAGGGATTGTGAGGGCTCCCGCGGGTCCCGCAGCGCAGCTGAAGACGTCGCCAGCGGGAAAGAGTGGCTCGGTCCGGTCGACTTGGGCTGGACGCGGATAAGGGGCCGTTTCAAGACGGCAGTTTGTCAAGGCCCCTTGTCCACTTCCATTGTTAGAAGGTATGGTGAATGCCCTTGATAAGTGCTGTAGGAAAATCGGGGGGTCGCCCAAAAGCGATTGCTGAGATGCAAAGGGCACTTTTCCCCCACCAGCTGGCCATAGGGCCGGGTTCTGGAGATTCGGTTCCAGGGAGTTCCCTTTGGTCTGTTGGGTCCCGACAACCAGCGGAGCCATATCACCAAAAGAAGTTCCTGCTTCTGTTTTCTTTCGTCCCGCAGGACTTGGAGTTCGTGGTGTCCAACAAGGCACATCGATCGATCGGGCCCAGAAACGGCAGAAAAAAGTGGACCTGTGCGATAAGGGCGGTTTCCTTTCGCGTAGGGGGGGGGAATTCCCCTTGGCGGGGGTTTCTCATTGCATTTCCCTTGGCTGGTTTTCCATGGGGCATCTTAAGGAGGTCACACCGAAAAGTGAGCGCCGCAGGTGACACGCGTCATCAACTGTGCTGGGCGGCAAGTGCCAAACCATTGGGAGCCCGTGGCCCAGTTTTTTTTTTGGGGGGGCCCGGCTCGGCATGCCTTTGCGAAGCCTCGAGCTCGCTGAGGTCCATTGGAGTTGTCTATTTGACCTACTTTTGGGTAGATGCAGATAGTCAGGCACGGGTGCTTTTTGCAGCTTGTTGAGATGGAACTGGCAAGTGCCCTGAAGGTCGTCCTGGACCAACGCGATGTGGTTGCGTGCCTGCCTGAGTCTGCGAAGCTTAACGCACACTCCTTCCCACACAATTTGTACCGATTTATGCCGTTCGCCCATGCGCCATCACTGCTAAATTGCGGCCAGTTGGTATTGACCCAGTGGGCAGCCGCACAATGGTCTACAACTTGTTTATGGATCCAAGTTAAGGCGAATGCCCCCTTTAATGCAACCCCCGAGTCCTCTGAAGAATCCACTTGAGACACAGGTCGATCGCACATTTTGGCATAGGTCAGAGTCCTACCGCTTCATCGAAGAGGCACTCAATGCAGCGGAAAGCGTGCGGGGCCCCAGGGCAAAACTGCTTTCTGGCCACTTTGTGAGACCAAGAGCGGCAAGTGCTGGTGCCTAGTACTTTGGTCAACTGGTGGTGTTTGCCCATCGGCGGGTGCATTTCCCTTTGCCTTCTGCGCTTAGTGAAGGTACTGATCCACTCAGTGCGAGGGCAATCGAGATCCTGCTGCATTCTGGGGGCGTACATGATGAAGAAGTACAGCCGGGGCCTCAAGTGAGCCACAATCCAACCCCGGGTAGATGAAGTTTAGTTAGGGACAATCCCTTCTTAATTCTTGAAGCATGGTTCTGGGTCGACCATTTACCAAACCAGAACTCAAGTAAGGTTCATTTCGCCGGGTCGAGCCTTTAATAGTGTCATTTTCCGCCGGGTCTTGATTCTGACACCAAAGCGGCGTCCCAAAAGCGAGCATTTTCCGGCGACCAAACCCCGCGGCGGCCAGACTGGGGCCTGCGGAAGACCATGGAGTTCATCAGCTTCCGGAGGCCGGGGGCCGCGCTCTTCGCCGCCGTTTGGCGCTCCGTGCGCCGCGAAAAGACGATGAGGCCGGACATGAACCTGAAGCCAGGCTTCATGCAGTCCGGGCCCAGGGTTGCCGGTTCAATGGTCGGTTTGTGTCTCTTTTCTCTGGAAAGGGTGCAGCCACTACCCAGCCAAGTTTTGTACAAAATTTGCTCAAGGGCATTTGTAGGTATGGGTGTTGGAGGTATGGATGCTTTTTCTATTTTTAAACCACCCTGAGACTTAGACGCCTTTGAGGCAGGATATGCCCCTTGCATAAGTGGGAAATAACCTCCATACCTCCAAAAACCAGAACTGTCCGAATTTGCTTGTGATCCTTTGGGACCTTAGGAGGAGCTGAGTGTAAGGCAAAGAACTGCTCTCAGCGTTCGAGGCAGCTCTCAGCGTTCGAGCGCCGTTTGGTGGAGAGGCGTGGTGAGTAGGAGGAACCAGTGTGCATGTTTTTGGTGCGTGCGTAGAGGCAAAGCAGAGGAGTCTCCTATGCATTGTGTTGGGAAAAGCGTGTGGTTGTTCTCCAACTAAAGCGCTCAGACCTGAGCATTTCGTGATTTTCCTTGGTGGAGTTTTGTTGGCATCCCCATTTGGGCACCCAAATCTGGCTCGGTTTCTCCACCGAACCAACCGGGGTCCGCCATTCCGGTTGAACACTTGGCCATGGTTCAAAACCAATCACTACTCATTTTAGTCTATTTTAGTGGGGATTGGGATGTTCACTGGGGGCCAACCGGGGTTTTGACCCATGACCACTTCGTTGGACGAGCGGAAGACATTGCGTGACCTCGACAGGTCGAAGCAACCACTCAGCACCGACTGGACAGACGCAAACTTCGGGAACTTGGAAGCGGAGGACGCCTTGGGGGAAATAGGAGCAAGCCACCCCAAATTGGCTTCTCGCAATGGCGCACCCCTTTTTGGGTGCATGGTTATTTAAAGGGACGCCAAGAAGCACATCGCCATGTTAGGGGATCGCATTTTGAGAAACAGCCCTTGCAGGATCTGCTCCTCCGAAACACGTATTTGAATGGCCAGCCGGGACCCTATAACCCTGGCTGCGGCACCTGCGGCACGTGGCGCGATGTCGAGGAGAGGTCCGTGCGCTGAGGATGGGACCGCTGGCAGAGTTTCACAACGACAGGGAAGCGCCCCGGTCTGGGGCTCGGGTCGCGACGGCTGCGGGGCTGCTAGGCTGCTGGGCTGCTTGCTTTCCCTTTTTGTTTGCTCGTGTGTGTGGCTTGCCCCAGAGAAATCGCGGGGAAACCAACGTTTTGTAGGTGTCCGCCAAACACCTGTTTTGGCCCAGGGCCAGACGCCTGGTCTGGTTGGACCAGGGCAGCAGCGACAGATCCCGGCTGGCCGGGCCCTCAGAGGTTACAGGGATCCAGTTGGCGCACGGCGGCATGTCCTGGACACGTGAGACCTTGTTGGGGCCTGTTGCAAGGAAAAGCCAGCCGGCGCTGATCGCCACAATTACGGGGAGGCCGCCTGGGCGTTGAGGCTGCCTGTTTCTACCCAGATGTGGTCCTTGGCAGGGCTCGCTGCACGGCATCCTGAGAAATCGGGCTCGGGCCAGCGCCCCTTGCGCCCTTGGGCTTGGGGTGGCGGCTGGAAAGGGAGCCGGCATCTGAGGCGACGCCCTCTCACCGCCCCAGTTCGGCCGGCACAGGGCCCCAGGGCAGGCCTGCTGGTCGGATGAAAGCAGCATGGACCTGAGGTGCAACGGCACCAGCATCTTCCATGCACGGGCAGGCGCCAGTGACACTTGGATCACTTGGATTCACAGCCATACTTCGCACGAGTTGCACGTGACAGGCACGGATTGACTTCGCAGAGAATGGCTCATACCATGCCAGAGACGCCAGAGACGCCAGAGATCACTCCAGAGACGTCAGAGATCACTCCAGAGACGCCAGAGACCATGCCGGAGACTTGGAGAATGACAGGGTCCGGCAAACTGCGCGCTTTGTGGAATCAGGTTCCCACTGCATGGGGGGAGGAGGGTGAGACGTTCCGTCCGGCGCCTGGGAGCCAGAGATGCATGCAGCGTCACATATTATTGATTCACACGAATTTGGAAAGATGCCAAGCTGACAAGGAGATGGAGCTTGGTTGCTTTACAGCTTGTTGTTTCATCGTGTGTCCACGGTTTACCCTCCTTTTCTCACCATGCCATGGCAAGAGCAAAGGGAAGCAGACTTGCAAGAGGAAACCAGAACCGCGGAGGGGATGTGGAAGAGAACCACAGAGAGCAAGCGATACAACGCCACTATCATCATCAGATCGCAGAGGAAGTGGACAGCAGAGGGTGCGGATTGGTGGCAGATCCTCATGACAGGACTCCTCAATGTGTGCATGTTGCCTTCTTGGTGACTCATGACCATGGGCTCTCACCGGGTGCCCTGGAATGTGTGCCTTTTTCAGAGTTAGACCAAAGGAAAAACCACGAATTCTTGGGCACGCCGTCCGCAGCCATTTGGGCCGCAAGCTTCGCTCCCCAACGCTTGGCTTAGCCACGCTTCCGCTGGCGGCTCCCGCCCGAGGAGATGACGATGTGGGGCTTCTTCGCCTATTCGGCGATCCCCACCGGGGCCTTGCTGCTGCTGCTCCTCCTCAGCGAGTTGACCATTTTGATGGAGGCAAGGCCCATACCGCGGATGGTTGCGAAATCCATTTCGCACCACCTAAGAAACCCTGGAGGGATGAGTTCCCCGTAAATACCAACAAACAGGTTTCTTAGGTGGTCTGAAATGGATTTCGTCCACCCACCGCTTTGGCCAACGCACCGATGGCACGGAGCTGCAAAAGAACGCGCCCAGGTCGCTTCGAAGGTGATGAGCGCGCCGATCACCATCGGCAAGCTGCGACTCAATGCCGCGGTGTTCATGATGGCGCCTTGGCCCCCCCCCCCCTGTCCCCCCGAAAAAAAAAGAAAAAGAACAAGAAGAAGCAAACAGGCGCCTGGTGCTACCTGCAAGTCTTTTTCCCGGCCGGATCGCCGTCGTGTTTTGAGTTTTGAGTGAGGCCTTGTGCAGCTGCCTGACTCTGCTCTCCTATTCAGGCGCGGAGCCTCCATTCTTGGCATTCCAACCGGGTGTGGGTCCAAATTAAACCAGGACATGGACCGCAGGTTTTAGTCCTTGGTTCGAGTTGCCAGGGTCACCCGGTTCAACCAGTTTTGGACCCACTGCCCGCCGTGAGCTCGAGGCTTCCGCCGTGAGCAGATGAGATCTGACAAGCTGGAGGCCTCGGGCCAGGGCGGCTTCATGCAAAGCTGGGAGACGCACGCCCCGCATGCGAGCACGGAAGTTCGGGCGTAGGTCCTACTCTTGGCATGGAACGCCCCAATGGCATTTTGTCCTTTTTGGAGAAGTGGTTGTTTTTGGGTCTACTCTTGGCTTGCCAATTCCACTTTCTCTTGCTTTTTTTTTGGGGGTGGGGGAGAAGTCGTCATGTGTCCGTCCTTGGGATGTTGGTTGGTCCTTCCGTTCTCCCGGGACTGGGGGGGGGGGGGGTGAAACGGGTGGGGTGGGTCGGGGAAACTGGCGGCCGAGCGCGAGCCGAGAGCCGAGGAAGCCCAAGCTGTTCTACGTGGAGCGGAACTTCTGGATCTCGCTGTTGGGTCTGATGGTTTGGACCACCGCCTGGCGCTTGGAGGCTCGGAGGTGGGGGTCTGGAGGCTCGGGGGCGTTTGGAGGTGGGGCTTGGGTTCTCTAAACGACCAACCCTCTTGTTCCCTAACAAGAGTGGTGCCAGGGGGGGAAACCCGAACCCCGTGGAATTTTAAAGTGCCAGGCTTCCGGCTTGGCCTTCCCGACCGGTTTCTGAAACCCGGTGGACGGAAACGTCGTTTTTGCAACACCGGCTCGGCAGCTTCCATGGCGAGGGTAACCGGATGATGGGGGAATGGTCTGCGTTGCTCGGAGGTGGTTTTGTGGAAAGGTTCACCGATGGACACATCAAATCATCACTGGGTTGGATCTGCCTTGAATCATGGCAGCTGACAGGAGGTTCGGACGACAACTTTCCCTTTTGGGGAAAGCCCTTTGTTCACTTGTTCGAAAGAGGGTTAATCATGTCCCATTGGGTTGTTAATGACAACCTGCCGTTTTCCTTCATGTAAATAGACAAATGCATATACACCCGGGTCTTCCAACATGTGCAAAAGTTATTGCTGTTTTGCTAAAAACTATGTTTTTTTGACCCAACGGTGATTATTTTCGCCTGCCGGCAGTTTTCAGTGTTTGCACACTCTAGCATCAATCAAATTGCAAACTGCATACTTGCCGTCACAACGGCGTAATTTGCCGGCGAAACGTTGTTGTTGTTTTTTTGCCTGGTCATGAGCTGGACTCACGGCGAGCGCTTTTTCTCCGAGAGAGCGATTTTTTCAGCAACCGGTACCAATTATTGCTGTTTCGGGAAACGGCGTTAATTTTACATGTCGGAAGGTCCAATATGTATAATATGTATGTATGTATGTATGTATGTAATGTAATGTAATGTAATGTAATGTAATGTAATGTAATGTAATGTAATGTAATGTAATGTAATGTAATGTAATGTAATGTAATGTAATGTAATGTAATGTAATGTAATGTAATGTAATGTAATGTAATGTATGTATGTATGTATGTATGTATGTAATGTAATGTAATGTAATGTAATGTAATGTAATGTAATGTAATGTAATGTAATGTAATGTAATGTAATGTAATGTAATGTAATGTATGTATGTATGTATGTATGTATGTAATGTAATGTAATGTATGTATGTATGTATGTATGTATGTATGTATGTATGTATGTATGTATGTATGTATGTATGTATGTATGTATGTATGTATGTATGTATGTATGTATGTATGTAATGTAATGTAATGTAATGTATGTATGTATGTAATGTAATGTAATGTATGTATGTATGTATGTATGTATGTATGTATGTATGTATGTAATGTATGTATGTATGTATGTATGTATGTAT